GCACTGAAGATTTGCAAATGATAACAAGTTCATTTGGTCTCAGTTTGATGCCCGAGAACTGGAAGCACTAATAATTTACATGTTCTCTAAATGCCACTTCAATTTAGAAAGTTCTATTGGTACATCATATACCATGAATTATGTGCTCCACAATGGATATAATGGCTACAGATTTTAATGCAAGCTGATGTGGATCTGCAATGTAACCAAGAAAGTATCCATTGTTTACAAATACAATCCATTTGTGTATCCATTTGTCTGATGAAGACATGCACATGGAAGATACTGATTTTTCTATGGAAAAAATCAATTTATCTTGATCTTCTTCTCATGCATCATAAAGCTATTACAGAAATATGGAAGAGTTCAAGTGCCTGGACCCTAAATGCAAGTGAGTGGAAAGAAATTAGTTTTCCTGAAAATTTCTTGTATTTCCATAAAGAAACAACAATAAATATGAAAGTAACAATAATGTCAAAAATGGAAGGATAACTACCAGAATAAAAAACAAAACAAACAATCTCCACAACTGTAACAACAGTAACAATATAGCTACTGCCAGAAACAATCAATTAAACAAATAAATAAATTAAACTAATACTACTAATAATTATAAAACACTTCAATAAAAACAGTCACTATACCGCTGCAATAATTAGATCAGTAAAGCTAATGCAAGCTCAGAGCCACATTTAACCTATCCATCATATGAACACTGCCAAGTTGGACTGCACTGTGGCCAACCCATGCACCAAGTCATGTTTCACAAAGGCTTGAAAGCAGGCTTCAGTTGTGTTGACAAAGTTGATAAAGTATTACAAAAAAAAAGAAAGAAAGAAAGAAAAAAAGCTCTAGAGATCAGAAACCTTCCATACATTTTCTTTACTTGAGGTCCCTGTTCCCCTGTCTTAAGAACACTGCAGTAGATCAGAAATATGTAGATAATCATATAATAATCAAACAGTGCTCAACTTACTGGCTTTGTATACATGTACTGCTCCCTGTGGTTTTGTTTTGTCCATTTTATTTACACATTGATGGATCCTCAAGGAATCAATCAACAAATTAATTATTAGGCCTACCTGAACTCACCTGTTTATTCTGTCTTCTGAGTTCTCAAGAAAAAAAATTCTTTCTACTCTCATTGTTGTCCTTAACAGTATTATCATTATTATTATCATTGTAATGTTATTAACAATTACAATAGTAATAAAAATAGAAGCATTTTTCCCCCAAAATTCAAGGAATGGGATAAGTAGGTGAAAGCAGGTCTGCCTAAAATTTGCCTCCTTGGTGATTAAGCATCTTAGGATCCATCTTTGTGTAAACAAAATGAGTAACTAAAATCACAGTGGACATGGCATGCAAACATGTCTTCCCAGCATTAATAGGTTGATTATAGTCTTTAATACAAAAATATTGTGTGTGAGAGTGAGGCGAGTGTGAGTGTGAGCGCGCATGTATGTATGTATGTGTATGTGTGTGTGTGTGTGTGTGTGTGTGTGTGTGTGTGTGTGTGTGTGTGTGTGTGTGTGTGTGTGTGTGTGTGTGTGTGTGTGTGTGTGTGTGTGTGTGTGTGTCTCAAATATCATGGTGTATTACATCATTTTTTTTAATAGACTGAGAGGAAAGACATCTATAGACCATTTGTAGACATCAATGTGAAGGCAAAAATCAACAATGAAAACAAGAAAAGGAAACTGTGACACAATTCTCAGGTGTACAGAGTAAATCTTTGACAGTCATGTAGGTTATTTATGAAGCTGTAATAAAATATGAAATGAAGGTTGAGGCTGAAACAAAAACCAAAAAACATTTTTTGCAAAGTACTGCAGGTAGATTTATCACAGAAAATATCAGTAAAATCATATAAAATAACAAATGATTATGATAGTAATGATAATGAAGTTCCCTTGTAGAAAATGCATGACAGAATTTTAAAAACAAATACATTACAAATATTTATCTGAGGAGCTGAAACTCTTAGCTCATAATAATAAGAAGGGTATCTACTAGTACATGCTTCAGTGCAATCTAATACAAGCTTTTAAAGAAATATTATCCATTGAGTTTTTGTGAGTTCATTTAAGAAATATTCACAGTCTGGTTACCGTCATACAGAAATATTAAAGGCAGAGATTGTATGGCTACTTACAGTTTCAAAAGAAAGTTTAAAGAATAACTTAAACATTGATTAAGATATATATTTACATTAATGGCTGTACTGCCCATAAGATGTAGTCTTTATACAAGAGACATAATAAAAAAATACAAAGGCATAACATAAACAAATCATATGATGCAACTTTGCACATTCACGTATGTATACATCAAGCAAAGTGACACTAGTTACTAGTGAATCCTTGGCATTGGAATAAATGGCCAAAGCTGTGATTAGCTAGATTTATTTTTACCTTGTCAGCAAAGAGTGTTGCCTGTAAGTAATCAGACTGGGAAGGCAAAGTTAAGTATTAGTGGGAAAGGACAATGACTGTAAAAAAAAAAAAGCTGTCAGTATATATATATTTTTGACTTCCTATGCAAACCATATAAATAACTGTACATAAAAAGTTATTCACTTCTAGTTATACCGCATGGCATACTACTACTAGCATTAATTTAAAAATTCTGATTTAGTTATTCAAACGGCAAATGATACAAAAATACAAAAGTTCAAAATTTCTGACATATAACCTCACACATATATAAAAATCTACCTAGTTTTGAAAATAAAACTACATATTTCTCAATGCAAAAATTCTACAGCTACCAGGAAATAATGTAATAAAAATATATACTTCATACTTGCTAACAATCAGAATATTGTCTCATAATATCAATGCTATTTGATCGAAAGCATATATGTCCTGAATTTACTAAACTAGTGCAAAGCTGGCAATATGATCCAAGTGTACTCAGATCAGAAATCTATAAGGAAATCCTCACAAAATATCTATATTTACAGTATCATATCCAAGACCCACAAAATACTGATTAATGCAACTGCTGCTGATGCTATACATAATTCTATTTCTTCCCTGCCTGTCCATTATGTAAGACTAAGTAGCACAATGGGGAAAAGTGATGCAATGATTCAGAAATGGAAATAAAAAGGTCTCAAGCCATGTAAGAAAGCTATGGACTTTTGGTCAGTTACTTCCCTTCACACTGCTCATTCATTCACTTACAAACACTTGAGACAGATTGCATGGTATTAAACTGTAAGGTATAACAATACAGAAAAAGGCTCTGACCTGAAGACAGGCTGGCTCTTTGATTTATACTATAATCAAATTATATTTCAAGAAAACTTCTTGGTCTTATTTGAAACTATTTTTTTTTACAGAGAAAGTTGATATTTTGGAAAATTATTCCCAGACATATTCAAGTTAAACAAATTTCTTACATACAACCACTTTTGATTTTCTGGTGAAATATTAACATAACACCATATATCACATGAATATATAGTTTAGAATGAAGCATAAACAGCTTGAGAATTCTATAGGGTTAAACAAACTGTCGATAGCATACATGAAAGAAATCTAATTAAAAAGACATATGCAGGACTTTGTTAAAATTAAATGAGGTTTTTCCCCAGGAATAAATCATATTCATATATAAGGAAGATAGATGAAGTTATTAGCAAAAAAATATATATATATAATGCAGAACATTCTGATATCTTTTATAAACTCTATGCTTTAAAATAGGAACATGGTAGTCTACTGAGCCTATGGAATGATAATACTTAATCTGGAATTAGAAATAATAACAGATAGTCACTATATAAGTAGACAGTACAGGACTAAAGCTTGAGAGAACATTTATTTCAGATTTGTGCTTTATACAACTAACTATAGAAAAATTAAATCAGATTATCTTTAAAGATAGAATATACACTTTAAGCCTTACTCAGACTCAAATACAAAAGAGAAATACCATTTACATCGTCATATTCAAAGTATATATGAAAGCTGTTAAAAATGTAGACCCCTATACATATGTCACTAAAACAAGAAACTGCTACTTTCATAATCTATGGAAAAGCAAGTGCATACAACAAAATCTACATTAGTCTAGATCTGTCTACTGACTTAAGATTTTATTTGGATTGATGCCAAGGAAATCTATCAAAAAACAAATCAAAACTCAAAATCAAATTCAAAATTAGTCTGCTTCTTTTCTGTTCCTTTCAGCCATGGCACAGGAGTTCCATATACTGCCCATTCTTCAAAAGCAGACAACCTAAGGATTCTCTCTCTATCCTTAGTTTTCCTTTAGGCCTCTAAGTCTAGCCATTAAATTGTGAAGAAAGAGCGATTTAAAATTACTACAACTCTATCTATCTCTATAGGCTATATTACCTGAATTCATACCTGAAATGATATCTTTCAGCGCAAGTGAAAATACAGATAAGAAAATAAGGTAAAGACGATTTCCTCCAACTGACTTTTATACTTTCCTCTCCCTGGCAAAACCTATTTCTTACTTCTTTGTCTTTGAGGGAACAATTTACTTCACTTTTAAACTGGTATTTTTACTTAAGCCAATTCAAATAACCACATTTGATCAATGATTTTACTATAAGTACAAAGTACTTATAGTACTGGAACAATAGCAGGAACTGAAGACCTCAATCTTCCATATGTTAACTACTAGACCTTTCAGACCTCACCTGCCTATACTATTCCCTGTATTTTCAGAAAGAAAAAAAACATTCTATCATTATAAATAGTCATCAGTGAATACTGTTAGCATCATGAATATTATTATTGTTATTGATATCTATTATTATTATATTAGTAACTATAATGAATACAAAAATATCCACTGTAACCAAACTGAAAATAACCACAATAAACTCTTTTCTTCCTGAAGTTCAAGATACAGAATAAACAGGTAAGGCCACATATAACTAATAAAGTACTCCTTATTGAACTGTCTATACATCAAATTATAGACTAATAAATATTATAAACAGGTATTAAACAAAACAACTGACATTATACATATGAATCCATTTCCCAGTGTTCATGGACTAAGAAAATACCTACACCCATTACCTTACTCAATATTAATGCTCTCACCTTAACTATGACTTCATCCTAAGTTGAAAAGAAATGTATGTTCTATCCCCTTAGCAAAATCTCTTCATCTTTTTTTTGGTTCTAAAACTACTATCATAACACAACAAACAACAAAAATGATCTTCAAATCTCATTGCTGGCAGGCTGAACATGAACTCTGCTGCTCTATCTGGATGTACTTCGTAGCTCTAGCAGAAAATCCATAAGGAAATGACTCACCTTCTCAGCTGGCAGTGTTATCACATCATTTATCTTGTCTGCAGCAAGGTAGTAGTTGGAATCTTGACAATCATGATAGTGATTGTACACATAGTCTCCACAAACCAAAAGGTCACTTCCGCTGATGTGCCTGACAATAAAATATGAATAAATATATATATGTACATGCATGTGTGCAAGTGAGTGAGTGGGTGAATGGGTGAGTGGGTGAGTGAGTGGGTGAGTGAGTGGGTGAGTGAGTGGGTGAGTGAGTGAGTGAGTGAGTGAGTGAGTGAGTGAGTGAGTGAGTGAGTGAGTGAGTGAGTGAGTGAGTGTGTGTGAATGTGTGTGAATGTGTGTGAATGTGTGTGAATGTGTGTGAATGTGTGTGAATGTGTGTGAATGTGTGTGAGTGTGTGTGAATGTGTGTGAGTGTGTGTGAGTGTGTGTGAGTGTGTGTGAATGTGTGTGTGGTGTGTCTGTGGTGTGTCCATGGTGTGTGTATATTTGTGTGTATTTATGCGCGTTCATGTATATTTGTATGTGTACAAATGTGTGTGGGCATATGTGTGTGCGTATGTATATGCACATGTGTGTGCATATGTGTGTGCACGTATGTGCCTGTGTCTGTGTGTGCTTGAATGTACTGCATTTTGCTCTCTTCATACATGAATATCACTTACAATAATAGTAGTAAGCTAGGAAACACTACTTACATTGACTTTATTTCTTCTGTTAGATTGGTATCAAAACCTAAAAATTGCTTCCCCTTTTTGGTATACCCTCGTACTTCATTGCCCGAAGACAAAAAGATCTTGTCCTGGACAGTCCCTGTAAGAAGACAGTCAAGGTATGATCAGATAAGAAATAGATGTGTATGACTATACTTATTAGAAAAAGGAAATGATATACAGACCTCCTGATAAGAGAAAATTCCTCATTGGTGTAAAACAATTGTAAAAAAAAAAAAAAAAAAAAAAAAAAAAATATATTATATATATATATATATATATATATATATATATATATATATATATATATATATATATCTGAACAATCTTCTTTTTAGTTATATGACTGAAAATTCAAAGAATTCAAAGAAAACAAACCAGTGCCTAGTGTTCACAAGTCAATCATAATACTTTTGAGCAAAAATAAATTCTTAATATATTACTATAAACTATAAACTGAAATTCTGATGTTGAACAAAGTACCACCACTATTTTTCCTTATCAAAGTTATTTCTTATTGGAACTTAAACAACAGATGTCTGCACTTAATCCACTGGTTTTAATGCTACATCAGCTACACCTACGAGACCCATGAAAGTGAAGGCCTTCTGCATAATTGTATGATTCTTTACTCTTCCCTTAATTCTTTGTTTCTTTGCTCTTCCATACAATAATACACTAACAACTTGTTCAACATGAATCTTTCACTTTCCCCTGTAACAATATCTGCCCCTTACCAAGAGCTCCTCCAAGTTCAACCCGAGTGATGCTCTTGCTTACACCACTCTGGAAGCTGTACTGCACCTCACCCCGCTTCATGTTGAAAAGCTGAATCACCCCATCGTGATCGCCAACTACGACCTGTTTAATGACCACAATCATGATTTCAGTTGATACAATATTTGCTTTTTCTAACTCAAATTAATTCTAAATATTAGTTTGCATGAGTACATTGTTACAGAAATGTTTGCTTTTAGTGTAGATCACAAAATAAATGCAGTAGGAAAGTAAGGACAATAATCTTTTTTAAAAGATTTCTCAGATATATACATACATCAAGAACCTGGTATCTCATATTGTCAATTTGTGTTCATATAACTCCATAGAGAAATCCTTCCACCCAAAACAGGTCAATTGTCATGAAGATATCAAAATATCTAAAGTTATCACATACCTTTTGCTGACTTTTTGGTGAAGTCGAAGGTAGAACACGAAGACATTTTGTAGAGGTGAGGCCGACTTGCAGGTAGTCAACTCGAGTTAAATTAAGTTCCATGTTTTTGAATCTGCAATATTATTTTATTAAATCAAATATCAAAAAAGTGTATAAATAAGTAAGCAAATATAATAAAACCTTATATGAAGGAGAAAGCAAAGTGAATACAGTGTTAGAAAAGGAAATGTAAATTTTGGGTAAAGTCTGTAAAACAATTTGAATTTCATTTGTAGTAAAATTGCTACAAATTGCATTTGTAGTAAAACAACAGAGCAAATACAAATTACCTATCATTCATGATACATCATGATACATAACTTTTAATACTGTACAAATCAGAACCATATAACTACTAAAAAGCAAAACAGTAAACTAATCAACTGAAACTCTACCTTGCTACTTAACCCAACCTTAACACAATACTGATATTATTCTTACTGATATTATGAATATTAAATTGTTATTAAAGTCTTAGTAACATTAAAGACAATGAAAAAAAAAAAAAATCCAAAGATCAGGGAAAAGGGTAAAGATAAGCAGGACTAATAATTGACTCCTTGGTGACTAAGTACTTGTAGAGCCATCTATGTGTATATAAAATAAATAAACTTATATTACAGTGAGTATGGCATGTATTCTTACCATATGTGCCAAATGGGTTAATATTTCCTCATCATATTTCAATAAATTCTTAATCTAATTTATTTTTTTGTGCTTACTGTGTTCACATAGCACAATGCATTCTATAATAGTGGTACTACTCCTACTGTATGGTGAAGATGGTGAAGAACATGCCTATTATCATAACAAATATACATGTTAATACTCCTACATTACACTACACCTTACATCACTAAGCAGCTACTGTGGCACCGATAAAGTTATATGCAACTATGACATTACACATATAACTCCAACCCTTAACAGTGCAATGGAGAGATTATTTGTTTGTGTACTGAAAGCTGATATTTCCTGCTATATAATTACAGAATTACTTCTTTTTTTCTTGATCTATGGCAATAACAAATAGAGAAGAATATAGAGTGTTCTATGAATCAAAGACATTAGACAATATTTAGCGTAGTAATTAAACATACATATATAAGATAATCACAAACTGGAAGTCAGCATGAACATATTTGGTGTTACAAATATATTCAAAACAGACAAATCAAACTGCTTGCACTGATATTTACCCACATAACTCCTCCTCCTTTAAAGTTGCTTAACCATAGTATAAAGTGGCCTTAGTGTTATTGGTTAACTCTCAAAAGAATGACTCAACAGATGTAGAGCAAAACTAAGGTATGCCTCTTTCAAGACAATGCAAAACACTATAGATTATATAAAGCAATCTGAAAAAGGTGAAGGAGTATCCACAAGTACTTTATCAAAGATACATATACAGTTTGGTTCATGCTTCTGGTACATTGGCAAAAGAACAATAGGCATCCAACATGTATATTCTGGCAAGAGTTTGCAGACAACTAGGCCAAGCGAATATGAACAGGATATTGGCTTCGCATATTTAATATGATACAAAAATATATGCAGTAAGAATTATTTTGAAGGTACAGAGTAAATGCAACTCATAGTGATAAGCAAAGGCAACATCCCTTTCAACATATTTCTGAAACACATACATAAAACCTCACTTGTATGACATCAAGGAGTCTTGACTAACAACATGGAATTCCAATACCAATATCACGAATTCCAACCCTCTACTTCCACAGATCTACGAAGAGGAAAAGAGCTTACTAATAGACTAAAACTTCATCACATAAATCATAGACAAACTCACTTCAAAACAAGCAAAGAAAAAAAAAATCTCTACGAAGAAGCTATACACTGAACTACCTTTCTACCTACACACACTTACCAAACACGGCCCATAACCAGAAGAACCATTACTCAAACACACATCAATATCCACCAAACAGTATATCCAAAACTTATACTGACTATTATCAATTAATCAAAACACCCTCGGCTTCCTAGTTGCTATTAAAACCACATTACACCCGAGCTGCACGAGAGACCTACGCTTTCCTCCTCCTCCGCATCTCGAGTAGAATTACACACTTATTTCAGCCTTTTGTGCCCATCATACCCATGTCAAAGAGTCCTATTTCGTATAAACATGCATCAAAGAAGGTATAAATGAAGAGGAAAACTTACAAATTAGATGCAAATTACAGCCAACGTCTCAGGCGATTGCGTAACACTGTGGAACATTTTGCACTGAGGAATGTTTACAAATTAACACCGTGTTCGAAGGCTGCGGTCGTTCACAAATCCCAAGAAATGTTTTATTACAGTTTTAATGAGTTTCAAGTTGAAGACAATAGAATTATCCAATATAAACTATATTTTTCTACCCATTATTGGCTTTATTTGAAATAACAGAGTGAAAAGAGAGAATATTAACAATGATGCCACACTGGCTTTTAAAGGAATGGAACACAAGTTTCTAGCGCGAATTTTGAATTTCCGAACTTAATCAATATCATAAGAAGAGGAATAACTTAAACAAACGCATTATACAGAGTACAGCAAAATGTTACCAAAAATATGGAGACTCCTCGAAATGATAAGGATGAAGATGATGATGATAATGATAATAGTAATAATAATAATGATAATAATAATAATAATAATAATAATAATAATAATAATAATAATAATAATAATAATAATAATAATAATAATAATAATAATAATAATAATAATAACAACAACAACAACAACAATAATAATAAAAG